GATGCGAATTTTAAACTGGACGAACAGTTCGTATAGTGCAGTTGATAGGTCGATGGAGGCACGTCCTGTTTGATCTCTAGGCACCCGCCAAATAGGACTCACCGCTTGCAATTCAGAAAATAAAAGACACATAACTGGCAATCATCAGTTTGGTCTGCGAAGTGCCCACTTAGGTAGTCGTAAAGATTCATAGTCTGCATATATCGATGTACTGAATACAAAAGTAAAGTTCCTGTTGGGAATCTAAGGCAGTCCGTTCTCAGACCTAATCCGACAAGAAAATATAACCCCCCTGAACTATGAATACGATAGAACACTATAGTTAGATAGAAAATATGGTTATTAATCTTTAGCCAATAATTATATCCACTACCGCAGCCTGCTATTACACTCCCCTTGATAGTGTATACTATGAATTGTCCAATTGATTAGGGCGCCTCGTCTGCGCAGCATTTTTAGAACCATAAAGTACAAAGCAACGAAAGTGCCGTACATGACGCTTTCATAATTAGCCTCGACCTAGAATTGAATGCCATGGTGAGTTTTGTTGGAATGGAAGAGGAAGGGTGAAGATGTGGCGCATTGTGCTCTGAGAAATCTCAAAACCTAAGCCACTAGCTCGAAAGGTCGCTATGGATCTAACCAGAACAACGTTATTATCATTTACCACCTACTGCTAATAACTATTCATGAAGGCATACCTTTTTTTTCAACTACATAGCAAGCTTTACTTAGGGTTAAAGGTAGCGGTACTTTTCCTGCTAAAAAAATTAGCATTTCGGTGATACAGGTAGGAATTATGCGTATAAGTGTCATTGGTTTTATCATGCGGACTGATTTTTTGGCTGGTTATATTTAGGTTTTGTGCATAAGTTGGCCGGTGGCCGCAGGAACATAAGCTTGCTGTTATTCGAGCAAGGAAATCTAGCTCTCGACTTGTCTTTCACTTCTACGGTAATTTGCTATATATAAATAGATGATTTCCTTTACATATTGCTTTAATTAATCAAGTTAACGCTTACGATAGAGCAAAGAAGCTAGAACTGAATGATAATGTCATTTAATCCTAACGGTAGAGATGTACAAGATTTTTTCCACTGGTTTGAAGATGAATTGGTCCATAAAACTAATATACCATTGTACTTTACACCAAGAAAGTGACTTAACAGCCGAAGTATGAGAAAAAATATTTGGCAATTTTGAGACGATCAAGGCAGGGTGTCTTCATATTGAATAAGTAAAAAACAATCAATCGAATTTTATTCTTCATCCATACTGCTAGTTACTAACACGCGAAGTTAATTATATTTGCACTTGAGAACGTTATTGTAAATATTGAGCGTATGCGAGATGCTACCTATATATGTACTATTGAGATGTCTTTGATTGTTTGCCTTCTAAAGCATAATGCGTCTAACTGAAGACACCCAAAAGTTTGACTATTCAAATTTCCAACGTGGGTCTTTCTTTGCAATGACCGCGCGCGATACGTAGTTTAATTCAAATCCACATTAGATGTATTTTGTCAACCTTAAGCTACCTCAGTTTTTCCAAAATTTAATTTCTTTAATTATAATATTATAGAATAACATGTTAATGTACTATTATCTGCCGTTATGGATGAACGAATAAGGCCGGGTACGAAAATAAAATCCGATTTACAGACAAGAAGGGTAGTTTAAAACAAAAGAAGACGATGCACAATCAAATAGCTTACACAATGTATATTAATCTTCCATTGTGTAGCTTCTCAAAGTGCTGATAAATACTAAAATACTTTGGCTTAGTTGGTTATCTGTAGATATGTATAACAGATGCGAAGTTCGGTATTCGATGGATTTGTCTCTCCAGACTGCCTGATAAGCTTATAACATCAATTTTTAGTCGTCCATTGTCGAATAAATCCCGGACGTGGTACAGACGTATGTCTGGCTGTTTTACGCGGCCTGCGGATGATGGCTAACTTGATTGTCGATGTAGATAGTCGTGGTGACCTGGCATCTCAATTCCGCCAGTTGTTGGTACACCCAGATTAAGGACCTTAAACATTGGCAATCTGCAACTCTGTAAACCTTTCTTTTTTAAATCTGAACTACACAACATTACTGTTGATGAGAATTATTTCACTAAAATGACGCACTCTTTCGTCACGGAGTCCGTTCTGAAATTGGCGCCGCTGTTACCCTGAATAGCTTTCTTTTATCGTTGATGATCCCTCTGATCATCAGACCTTCGGTGTCCTGTAAACACCTGAGTACACAGATTTCTAACCTGCAATTATGTTTTGTACATTTCTACAAGTATCGAAATATAAATCCGATTATGACACTTGCGTCAGATCTAGACATAGCTGTTAGGTATAGTAAGCTATCGGCTAACCGTCTTTAAGGCAGATTTGGATTGGTTTCCTTTTCCTTATTTACCTCGAATAAATTGTCGCTGTTAGCGGGCTCAGCTGTAGGTTTGCATTACGATCTTCCAAAACAGTTCGTCGATACACTTTTCTTAACATATAGAGATTCCACGGTGTTTATGGATTGTGGTAGTCATCACGAAGAGGTAAGACAATAGCTGCCCTTTTCATTCGAAGTGTCTTCATGGTATGTATCCTCTTATCGATTGTGATTGACGTAATTACCAAGTTTGTTAATTTTTGCGGAAAAATAAATGCTGTCGTCTTTTTCCAAGGCATTATTCGTCCATGTTTCCTTGGCTTTCTTAGCGAAACAATGTTCAGATTGATGAAGGCTATTGATGAGACGATTTTATTTAATCTGCAGTATTCACCACTGTTGTCATTGTATCCTTTTGGTTAAGTGAGGGAGATGGCTTTATGGCTTATAACAGTTCCGTTGGTGCTCACCCTATGTCAAAATACCCATTTTGTCTCAACAGACTCATTTTTTAGCAATAGTTCAGCTAAAGTTCGGACGGCGTTGTGTTTAAGCGATTACATTTCGGTGTCTATTTCAGGTCTTCATTGAGCCTTTTCGTCCGGCGTTAGCATCTCCTTCATGCTAACGATATTATCAATAAAGGAAGGTTCAAAGCAAATCGGTTTATTTAGTCTTTATCTCTTCGTGAGTTGTATATTTTGTTTTGATCTAGTCTTCTGTACCCTATCTCAATTTTGTTGTTGCCCCTCGTGTTCGTTTGCTTGATTCGAAGCTTTGTTTTTGAATATTGCATTTTTCTTCAAAGTCAAACTGAGTTTTTTCGCCGTGCTGAGTTTTGTCGTTAGCTGAACTATAAGTAATTTTTTTTCCGCTTTCCTGCCGATATCCTCTTTTGGCATATAATGATTCGTAGATTCGTTTCGAAAACAACGTCGCCGGAAGACGCACTTGTGCTTCTTCCGACCGGATGAAAAATTAAGTACGTAGCACTGTAGTCCGATGGCGTGTATTTTCCTCAATTGCGGTTTCATGCCGTAAATTATTCTGAGTAGAGTCTGATCCGTAACTGAGTTGACAATAGTAATATTTATGAAAGCACTAACGCATCGGATGATTTCTCCGTTGGCCATCTTTAAAATATGACTTTAGCAAGCATTTGTAGACGCGTCTGTATGTCTGAAATTTCTCGCTTATGCATATAATGCGCACGTTTCCTCCTGGTAACTGAGTGTTCATTTTACACAAATTAGTGTGTGCATATCCTCGCTCTGGAACCTGTGCCAGGAGAGGCTTACGATGATCTGGTGCTTTGTTTGTCCTAAATTAAAAATAAAGTCTTATTTATCATTAGCAAAATCGAAGTTTTCATGCTGCACGAACATCATAACCAAACGCTTTATAAATTACACTCAAAACGTGCTGTATTTTTATATTTTGGGCCATAAGTAGATTCTAATCTCACTTAACCTCTATGTGGTAGTTAATCTTTAATAGAATAAGATTTCTCCTGTCTATTGTGATTCGCCAATTTTTGGTAACTAATTAACCGAATGAAGGAAGGCTCAGACGCATGAATTACGTAAGAACAAACATTGCCCACTGTGCAATTTACAGGGCAGCTTTTGTCGTATGGTTTTTTTAGTTTACATCCCAACAGGAACAGTTAGTTATATTAGGTCCAGTAGGAAAGGCCGTGATCGTTTGAAACGAGGCAGCTGCTAAGGTTCAAAAGAGCCGTATTCAGAGTTTGTAAACAAATTGTGAAAATAAGGCTTCAAAGATCTTCAAGAAATCTTCTAAAAAAATAATGCCAAGGAACGGCGGAATCCGGTCGATATGATCTACCAGAGACTAATCGATAGCCCTGAGGCTATTGCAACAACCTTGAGACTAAACTGGACTACCAGTCCGGATGTACCCTAAAAAGTATACACAATTTTATTGACGAAAGACCTCAGTAAGAAAAATCGGACATGTACTACAGTGGCAATACTGCGATTACTGTAGCACTTAAGTATCTGATCGAAATAGCCAAATCCAGGTTTCGGGCGATCCGAGAATGACAAAAGCTCGCTACTTCCTTCCAGAAAAACATGTGTCCCTTTGCCGAATCTTTTCAATAATAGTGCCTCTGACGATTACCGCCAATCGAAGTTACAGCTAATGTTACGCAATACGTCATTTACCGTGTTCGCCAAGACCAACCATAGCGTTTCTAGTAGAACACTACTGATCGAATCGTAAAATTAAGATGCGGGACTCCAAACCACGTAAAGCCGTAGGCGTACTTATGGTTATCGTATGTACCCACCGAGATCATGTAGTATTTACACGTAACGCTTTCGATTTCACGGAATAGATGGTCTGCGAGGTAGAACAATCGTCCACGGCAACGGGCTCGTGTTGGACGATTACGTGTGGAGTACGTATAGTAACTTATGAGCAAGTGCTTTCTCACTGGACACAGCAAACTGTCGCGTTAGAGGGAGTTAGCAAACAGACTCTATGACACTCTATTTGCGCTATCCATTCAATTGGTGGATGGTAACATAGGATAATCTCAGTTGACACCGATATTGGAGGCGGCAACGTTAAGCGAGGATCAATAGGAACTGACCTAATCAAGCGAAAACAAGCACGGGGTTGACCCTGGACACCCGTTGATACATTAAATTACTGCTACGCTTCTCTCTCCATTCGATCACAATGTGGAGGTTAAATAGGTGTCTTTACTCTTGCTAATTTATATCCACTCTAGTATTCCGATTTTCCAGATGCAGCATCCTTGGTATCCATCTCCAATTCATCGATTGATTGATGCCGACGGCCGGTAGTTATTCACGCATCTGTTCGATACCGGGACAACACAGTGGAAGTTAACACAATGTCATTATATGAAAAGTGTAACTGCTAAAGACCGAGCTGAAAAGTTATCGGTATCTATAAATGTCTCGGAAGCTTCCTTCAAAGTTCAGCTTTCCAGGGAAGACGAAAAACCCCCTTGTGACATTCGTTGCACTGTGTGTCCTGTCCCGAACAAGCGCACAGACAGATAGGATATGTGGACTATCCTTCAAGCCATCATCGTAGCCTGCCTTTTCGGAAAACTGATTTTTTATTGACGCTGGCATAGCACCGCTGCTTTAAGGGATACGAATCTAGTGCAACTCCACCTCCCCTTTACTTCTGTCACCGGTTGTATGTTATCCTCTCGCGTTATGACGCTGTATACTGCATAAAAATCAGCGACTAACATCGATCGTGTACTGGCTAGTTCGAGACCGTCTGTCAAAATGTCGTAATAGCCTCGTATATCATACGTTACATTACCACTACATGCTGTGAGGATCAATAGCAGATAGTGCAGCTTCCATTCTCACTGTGCTCCCCGCCACCATGGGAAATTTTCAATCCTCGTTGTAGATCGAGTTCTTCCTTCCTTCACGGAAAGACGAAAGCACATTAGAAATTTAAACAATATGGATATCTAACGCTTAACCTTGTAAATTAGATTGAACTGTTGTCAAACCATATCGTACGGAAGTTGTTTTGTGAACTGTTATATGCCAAGCTGAGGTGTCATACTGTAAGTAAACATTGAAAGTATGGAGTCATCGGTAAGTGAAAAGTTTGAAAACTCATTGTATGCAGCTTCACTACGTAATTATTTGAAAACACAGACCGAAAGGCTGTATAAGTGTTTTTAATTTCAACTCCGATACTGTTTTTAAGTATTGCTTCAGATTATGACAAACAAGTATTTGTTAATGTACGTCACTGTAATGATTTGCAGAACCTCCAGTGTTATTGTGTTTATAAAACTTATTTTACCGAACATTTATCACATTTTTATAGTATTTGTTATATCGTCAATATTCAAAACGTAACATTTCCTATAATAGTTTACGTTTCATTCAGTTAATATTTACAATACAATAATTATATTACTAATATATACTAATAACGTTAGCGATAAATAGGCGCGCCATAGAGAAGACGATTTTATTTATTTATAAAAACATTGTCGCAAAATATGCTTGTCAAAAATAATAATAGTAACACTATCAATGATAATAATAACAATGAAGATCGATAACAAGTTTTACTTCATGGACGGAAGCATTGAAAGTTCTCAATGATGTTGACAATTCGTCCATGTTTGCCTGAACATTTACAAAAAGGTCGGCACTCGTAAATGTCGTTTATATTATATATAGCCCCATCGAAGTAGATCGTGCTGTTGTTATATGCAAATCGGTCATTGCTAAACAACGAGTGTGCCTATGGCGGAGCTATTCAGAAAGTAATATAGATCTTCACTATTTTTCCAATAGCGTCACAACAAAGCTAGCAGTGCTGGAAGTAAACGACCCAAATGAAGCACCACATACAAATTGTATCCATGAAAGATACCTGAGAGTGGGTGGCATTCTCTAATCGATGCTAAAATTGCGCAAGACTTACCCGCGTAACGGAAAGCCTTCTGGTGAACGTGCTAGACTGCACTAAGTCAACAAATTTCATCTGTAAAATGCCATTGCTGAAAGTTTCTTCTATTATTCCACCGGTGGTTAGAACATAATAATAATGCATCGGCTTCAACGCATGTGATATGCCGCAATTTATTACCATTTAACACGTGATGGCCCGTTGCTTTGCCTCGTCCAGGTCGAGTGGAAGGACACTTGGTCCTTTTCTTTATTCCACCAGCAAATTCGATATCGTCGTGATGGGATGTCTTCATCAAAATTGTGTAACGTCCTGCGTTCGCGATCGCGTTTTTAGCGAAATGTCAAAGGCCGAAGGTGACTCCCAGTAGTCAATTATACAAGTGCAGTTAGCTATTACATCCATTGCCACCGCCGATGAGTTCCTACTTCGAACGCGTCTCTGCACAAGGTAACCGACTATTTTTCTCTGCTCCACCTGATAGACATTCTGAGCTTTTTGCCCTGAGGGCAGCAACACTTCTTTGATGAACCGACAGGTAAAGGAAAATTACGTCGAACACTTGTTCCAAAGACGCCTAGCAAATTTACGATGTAAAAATCAGCCGTTCCACTCGATGTCAAAAACTATTGTTTGAACTGAAGCTTGCGCCATAAGCCACGCAGACGGAAATACTCTTCATCTAGCACACAAAATGAAGGGAATGCCTGCAGCATTTGAACCCTGTGGTTGACTTGTCTTGAAAAAATAAATTTAATTGAAAAGAAGTTTTTCAGGTACAGCACGGACTTTTGTCAGGTTGAGCCCAAGGTTTTCTTTATCGAGAATAATTCGCAAAACTCTCGTTAAATATTCTTCTTTTAGCAAAGCAATACTTCAGCGTACCTGCGTAGGGCATATCTATAGTGTTAAATTGACGTTATATGTAACGAAATTTCATGAAAAATCGTACGAGATAACGAAATGTGAACAGAGCAAAGGAACGGCCAAAGCAAACTCCCCTGTCAGCTTCCACTGTCTCTTCCGTTCAAATTTAAATAGTTCTACATGAAATTATTCTTTAGGTTACCGCGCAAGTTGTTGGGTCTTGATATGTGATCGCGGTTTTGGGCTTTACAACGATAAAACATGTGAGGTACATAAAGAGTTTATTACGCAGCCATACCGTATATCTTGAATGGAATATGGCGACAGAGCCACTACCTGGCAGCGCAGTCTGTGCTTATCAACTGACTACGTTAAAAAAATCATCACTGGGCAGATAAAGTATCGAAAGATAGACGGCATGTTGCACATCGCACCCCGTTGCAGAGCAGGTGTAACTTTAATTTTTTAAATAACTTACAAATATTTTATAGAAAAGTGCTTACACCCCAACGCATGCTATTTGACCCGTGTCTCTCAAGATGTCGCCCCTCCCCCAATCATTATAGAGTTACTTAATAATAACATTGGCATTGATTAGGAAGTGACGTTCAAGGGCAGAGGTATTGAACAGGAGGTTTATGCGAAGATCTGCCCTAGTGGTGCTCTTTTTTTGCCCTGTCGACGCTTTCCGTTTCCTTTTCTTATTTCATCTCTGTCCAGTGTTGATACAAGTTGCTCCATATCTAGGTGTATTTTTCTTTTACTTTGTATATAATCAGTTAACGCATATGTGGTATTACTCAACAGTGCACAATGTATTTCGAAAAGTCTGCCACCTATGGCGCCGCAAGCACACTTAGATGGCACGTAAATATCTCTCGCCGAGATTGTGCTTAAATGAACATCTAATGTATATCAACACGACGTAACAATTCTTAGTCTAAGCTGACACAGCAATTTCTGACAGGGTATATAAAATATGCTGTACTATCTCAATTAGACACGTTTATTCGCCTTAGAAAAATTTCAAGCTGATTTTGATATAATTAGCATTGGCAGTTTCGGGACTCGATATTTTACATTGTCACATTGAAAAGTTGCGTCGTACTGGGATGGCCTTCCATATTTGCTGGTTCAAATACGGGGGCGGCTCAGAAGCTATGAAGTTTCTCTACGTCCTGCATCTACTGGGATTTACAAAGCAAAGCTATGTCAATTAGTCCTTTTTGAGGCCGTATTGATAAATCGTATTGTCGATTTTTGCGTTTAGAACGGCCTATATATAATCTAGACTATGCTGATTTCGGTCTATTGATTTTGTTTTTGCTTTGTATTTAGTACGTGACCCTTGGCGAATGCTATTCGGTCTCTTCCGCTGAGATAAAAGTAATATCGGCAGAGCTAAGTGACTTTAGTGAGTTAAGGGAACATTTGCATTGTTAACAAGCAAATAATAATTAACTTAGTTTGCTAATCTAAGCGGTGGCACAACCTACGTCTATTGGACTATTCATATATCAAGGACGTTTCTTCTTACTTCGAAAAGATGGGATGTCTGACACTTTACTCCATACACTGATCCTGTAAAGGTTGTGCAAGAACTTCTGCTTACAGACTGTCTCGAACGTCTTGCTCAGGTTGCAAAGGGTCACCATGCAAAGTTAGGAAAGTAACTACATATCCATAACTTTAACTTTTTCTAAACCGAAATTGCAGGATAACCTGCAACTGTAATAAATTTTAATTACGCTTGTATTTAGTATTATTTTCTGTCGTATGTCACTCGATAGACGAATCTTTTTGGCGATATCCAATTAGATATATCGAAGTTTTTTGCTAGCGAGACATCTGCACTATGTGTCTAGCGACTGTTATCAAGAACGAAGAGTTTATGATAAAATTACAATCTAGTTTGCCTCAAGAAATAAAGCTAAGTTACAATAACACAATTTTTAGAACGGTATACGTTTTTTGGACCATTAGGTTTCTGCGAAGCGAAACAGATTTCTATAGAAACACACCTTTGTGTGATTTCGTTCTCTCTCTTACGCGTCTTTCTTTGTCCATCGCGGCAAACCGTTGGGCATTTTAGGATGTTTGACAGTTGACGGTAGTATGTGCGGTGTTCGCAAGAGCGACCGACGAGCTAGTTGACAAGAATCCCGTCCTATTGCTGTCGAGCCATTCGTGCTGCCTGATGGTAAAATGCGGCTGTCTCTCTAGAAAGGCTGAGAATTCATAAAAGCAAAAGCATATTCTTTTCACAGTAAAAGCTCAGTCTTCGAGCTACTAATAGGACCCAAGAAAAAAACGAAATGAATTTTAGCAGTGAGCTCTCTTCAGTGTTAGATTACGAAGGCCACTGTTTAACGAACGCTTAGCAATCCAATTTCCTATCCTTGAGGATATGCCCTAGGTTTAGTGATACATACATACATATATATAAAGTTCATTTTGGAAATCACTTTCGCGGTCTCGTTGCACGTCTACTGGTAGAGTGGATAGCTTCCGACGGAGCATGGTATAGATGCTGAGGTATTTTAACTTGTGTTATAAAACAGAAAATACTAGCTAAGTTGTTGTTGCAACGAATATTTGTGAAAGAGTTCATTGTATTTCTATGATCATAGAGTTTTGTCAGCTATTGTGTTTCGCGTGCGTAAATGTGCATAGATTCGATGGTGCATAAGCTGGAAGAGGCAATTTAACTTGCTGACAGTTAGGCAACTTAATGCCTAAATCTAAAATAAAATCAACTTTGTACGCCTATGAATGCTATCCAGAGGTATATGTGAATGTTTCGTGTTAAAGGCAATGGAAGACGAACGCTATTACACTGACACAGATGAGCGCAGTAAAGTAGAACCTGTTTATAACTATGTTTGCTAGATTATATATCCTAGACAAAATTAATGAACATCATTAGAAAGTAGCTCGACTAGAGAAATTTGCACTCACTATTTAACCTACCTTCAGTCTGTTCGCTCGTAAAACTTTTGCTTTTTTTCGCTGTTACTTTTCAGTTACACTGTAATAACTGATAATCTTCCTTGTTCTACTTATGTATCTACTAAAAAAAAAAACGCATAAAATATAAACTTATAGAAAATATAAATCTTTGCGCGACTTATAGGGCAATTTAAAATATTTGGTCTTTTAAACATAAAATTAAATATTTAAAAGATTGGACACTTGGTCTTTTCGATTTACTTAAATGAAGGGTATGTTTAGCTCACTATTTCGCTGACTAAAATAGTTACGCATTATTAGTGGTAAAATTTTCGCTTCGTGGCCAACTAACTTCACGCCGCTTAACTTTAACTGCGCTCAAAAAAGCTTTACCCAACAGTATTCGATTGATTTTCATGTTTGATTGAATGTTTCAGATGCTTAAATAAATTAGTTTGCTTCAACGAATCTGTTAGCCTCGGGGTACTAGAAATGTTGGACCGTGAGCCCCCTTTATTTCGAAATAATTTATTTTGATTATTTTTTCTCGTTCCCGACCACCACATTTTAAATACGATGCTTATCTAAGGCCCTTCAGAAATCGTTTCAGCTAGCCACAATATAAATTACACTTTCCCTAATTGATTTTGGAACCGTCTGCATCGAATCAATTTGATTAGAACATTTCATCTTTAACAATGATAAGCCAATTTTTTCCAAAAGTTGAAAGATAAGAGTAGCAGGTACAGAAGATAACCTTTTTCTAACTAGATGTTATTTAACTACTCAAACTTTAAAAGTTAAGTCGCTCTACTCAGACGAGAATACACTGTATGCTGGTCCAAATTGCTTAACTTGAGAAGCACTGCGCATTCAAAAGTTCAAATGTATCTTCGATGTACCTGCTTTTCTTCGTATTTGATTAGTCATTACCAGATAGCTGGCGCAAGAATTTCAACGTATTTTGTTTTTTATTATTCATAAATACTCGTTGCCTTAAAATAAAAGTGTACCCGAGAAACTAAAGATGACATTTCGGAAGCCATTCAAATATAATCGCACGATCATTGAAAGACGGCATCGTCCTAATGAGACGACATATACTTAATTGTAAATTGTTTTCTAAACGTACCTCTCAACGAACGCATCGTATAGACCGCGCGCAAAAATATGTCGCTATTTCAAGAACTTTTCATATTTTCTCGACAATGTACACTTTGGCGCAGCGGGGTTAATGCGTAATGACGAATGCTTCATATGTAAGCGCACACGGCTCGACAATTTTCTTCAGCTATTATATATATATATATCTATATATATTCGCTTTCAGGTGTGCATCTTCGCCGCCTAGGTAGATCAGTCGGTAGTGCATTAAACATTTAACCTAGTGGTTCGGGGTTCGAGTCCCTGCCTGGGCGCGCTCGATTTTCATTGAAGCATGAATTATCCAACCTGTATATATATATATAGAGAGAACTAGAAATAACAGCAATGCGTCTTTGTGCGGATACTCTGCTACGTGACGGGAGAGGATAAACACCCTGTTAGAAAAGGGAAGTTTTCTTTGCTGTGATACGGAATAACAACTATCCACATCGTCAGTCACACACATTTGTCTTAGTATGTGCAGAGTACATAGATCGTCATTTATGATCGCTTGTTTGACTAGACCGGGTATCAAGACAAAATCCTGTTTTTTCGTTGATTAAAATCCAGGTATATTTACTTTGTTCGTTTCATGGCGTATGAACTGTATGTTCATCACACAGGTTTCTATATTAGTAGGTCAAGCAGGCAAAAAACTACACAAAAGATAGATTATTTTACACAGTAGTTGCGCCCTACTGAAATAACGCTTTTGCAGTTGAGCCATTTACGTACAAAGTGCGCCAGCGACTAGTACGATATGTATATCGTATTACGTATTTCAGTTGTCAATGTGTATTAAACAGCTTTGAATTTGTCAGCATGACGAGATAAACCTTTTTGCCTAATTTACAATAAGGCTTTTTCTAACACAAAGCTTTTCTTTGAGTCAAAAGATATTTTAATTACGTGTTTGCGTTGTTTATTAATCTATTCCTTTTAATCAATAGCTATTGTATAATATAAGACATTGTTCGGGATCTTGTATTTTCACACTCACATTACTAAGCGATCGTAAGCGGTTTTCCAATATCGAATACCATTGTGTGCCCAGGTAGCTCAGTCGGTAGAGCGTTAGGCTTTTAACCTAACGGTCCAGGGTTCGAGCCCCTGCTTGGGCGACGTCAAGTTTTGTGGAAGGACAAATTAAATATATATACAAATGCATCTGAGAAGGCGCTCTGACGACTCCTTCAGAACTATCGTACGATATGTGGAACAAAATGATGAGAGGGTTAATGCTTCATGCGTTAACGCAAACGGTGCGCTGAGTTGACACGTGACCAAATTCTTTAGATATTATGTATATATATATATATACACACAGACCTTTGTCGAATCCGGTGCTCAGGTAGTTGATTCGGTAGAGCGTTAGGTTTTCGACCTAATGACCTTGACTTCATGCCTCTGTTTGGGCGACATCGCGTTGTATAGAAGCTCGAATTATCCAACTGAGTATGAGTTTTAAATGCACTATACAGTGTGCGTAGTCTAAAGATGGAGTTTTAATTAGTATCGGGGTTTCAGGTTCTTGGTACCTTTAATATAAGCCTATCCCAATCCAAACATTTTTTGTTCGACACGTTTTCGTTGCTTTTTCATGTGAAGAACATTTAAAACATGCCACTAATTCAGTAAAAGTTCCCAGAATGTTACTCTAATGTAAAACAATAGGCGAGAAAATTATTTCTATTATATAACACCTTGATACTAAACCTAGCTTGGCCTCGCTTACAAACCATAAAAGACTCAGACTCGTTATCGATACGCTCCTGGCCTGAGGCGGTTCGCTTTTATTTCCCATAGCCTTAGAGTTTATGTACATTAGTATTTTTACATACAACTTAATGCCTCATTTGAATATTGTATTCTAGACTAACTTTTTTCTATGATCGGTAACAACTTTAGCTTGCTTTGCCTTTTGCAGATCGTATGTTCAATTGAACAGTAATGTATTGCTTTTGCCACTCTCCAATATTTATCAATACGCCAGTGAAGCATCATTTCTAATTTCAATGATACTAACAATCAGTTGAACTGGTTGTGAAGCACATTTCACGCTGATCTATGCGACGTCAACAAAGTTCTTATAAAGAAAAAAATTGAACTCCAACATAAACTTCAAAGTTAATAGACCGTTGCAAGTGAATCCGACAAACTTTGAAACTCAACACATTTTCAAGTAAAGGGCTAAAATGATGATATTTTAATGTGTCAGACGCACGCGTCTGCTTGACAGCTTCCGAAAAGTCACATATATATTATTTGCGTTTTTTTTTTACGTAATTTCTTCGCCTAGAGCTTCGATCGTAATCAATAGTAAGATATGCTTGTCCTCCAGTTGCTCTTTGTAAGACATAAACAACCCTTGTAATCAGGCGGACCTGGATCAGGAGAATAAGCAGTTTGAATCTTATGTCGGATATTTCCTTGCTCAATAAAAAAAAAAGTCAATGAGGCATGGCGTTTCAAAATCTACGCGTCGTTGCTTTAGGACAGCGGTGACAACAAGTGACAAGTTTGCTTCGACAGATTTCTTAAATTTCCTGCCAGATTGACCTGTTGAGGAACCCTATACTATAACAAATTAAAGGGAAAATAAATATTTGGGCTGATTTACTTTTAAGAATGTCCAAAATATTGACATTGTTTTCGATTATACTTCTATTCTATTTGATAGGCGCTAGAGTCGTCAAAAAGTGACGGAACTCCCCTGCAGATTCCCGCCATTGCAACATCACCTGCATCGCTAACAGTTCCGACGGAAGAGGATATAGACAAGGATGTGCAAGTTAGTCCGTACAGATTCGTTATTTTGCTTCTGTTTTCTCTCTACTCACTTTCCAACGGATTCCAGTGGATAGAATTATCTATAATACGTGACGTTGTCAAAAGGTAAATTTCCGTTACGAAGAATAACCTAATTCCTGCAGAAGGAAGCACTTTTTAGCGTAGAAATGTACATCTTTTAGAATGAGTGGGTTTTGCTTAGAGGACCGCTAATAGCAGATGGCCTCAAGTTTGTCGTGTAGTTATCATTTAATTGGTCGCGTATGCGTAACTACTATGTGCCAATATCTTTATTTGTATGTCATCAATCTTTCATTTGTTTAGCCATTACTCAGTATCAGATCAATCGGTGAATTGGACGGCGTTAATCTATTGCGCTTCGTATATTCCGCTGATCTTGCCCGCGTCATGGATCATGGAAAAAAAAGGTTTGAGGTGTTCGGTCGTCCTTGGCGCAGCTGGAACCATGTTAGGCTCATGGATCAAGGTGAGCTTGCCGGAACAACATAGGCATAACAATAGGAGGCTTCCCTAACCAAAGCAGAAATAAAGCAAAAATGACCATAATATTGCATTCAGGTTACCTATGAGATATTCTAATCCAAATATTTAACAATATAAGTATAACCCGTATAAGGCTGCCTGTTTGCTCCGGCGAATAGGATTTAGGCGTTCACTAAGCTTCAGACATGTACCAGGTGCGAAAAGTCTTAGGGTCCCGCACAAAGTTGTTTACAGGAGTTTATATAAGAGTGAAGTCTTGTGCAACCGTAGCAAAAGTGTATTTTGAAACAGAGCTGAAGAGTCGAGTATTTATTAAAAAAAAAAAAAAAAGTCTCTTCTCCTTGCCCGCATAGAAAATTATCTAGGTATGGTTCGTGGCTACAAACAAGGCCAGCCATTAAAACTCCGCCTAGTAACTAAACGCTGTCGATGGCCACAGAAGAGGCCTAACCGCTCAACTGCAGTATATTATTTTCAGGGCTCGTAAACATTATTGAGCACACGACACACCCTATCACCTAGCTATAAAGTGACTGACTACTGAGAGAAAATCTGTTGGTTTAAGTGGCCGACAGATTTGTTCTCAATGGACTTGATTCGTCGCCCAATGTCCATTGTCTTATAGTGGAATTTCAATTTTACAGATTGGCAAACCTAGCGAATTTTGTAGCTTTAATAGGAAGATTTTTTGTTCAATAATAATCTACAATTTGTCAGCCGGGTATGCCGGTGTTTTCTAGGACAGTTTAATGCACGTGATAATGACGACGGACCGTCACGATTCGTAACATTGACTTGTCAAGTTGGCGTCTTTGCGCTAACTCTCTTAACTTCAATACAATGTCCTTAGGCTTCTAATGACTGACGCGATGACGAAACTGTCATTAAGGAGTTTTAGACGATAGACAAAACAGAATTTCCCAACCGGAACTCTATTGCGTAAAAATATATTGCCGTAAAAATACAAGGTTCAGGTTATTTGTTGAGTTTTAGGTGTTCGCAACACCGCGAGATCTCTTCTGGCTGTTAATGATTGGACAAACAATTGTCGCCTGCTCGCAGATTTTTATACTCTCTGTGCCTCCACGCTTAGCGACAGTGTGGTTTGGCTCGCAAGAAGTTTCCCGAGCGTGCGCCGCTGGCGTCTTCGGCAATCAAGTTAGTGTCTGGGATTGAGCTAAAGAAATATAAATAAAATTCTCGCGTATCCGATAGTTTCTATAGGTTTTCCGGAAAATCTTCCAGGAAAATCATCGTAGGCCACATCTGTTACCCACACTCAATCACAGCTTGTTGACTTATGCGTCACATTTAAGCTCGTTTCTTACGTACGTACTAAATATTTTCATTTTATGTTTATATAACATTCATATCACTTATATACATCTGTGAATAAAGAAAGCTATTGTTATTATCATTATGTATAGTGAATCATCCGTGATTCTGCTACACATCGACCACTAACGTTGAATATGTGGATTATGTGCTATTTTTAGTTGGGTATTGCATTAGGCTTTCAGGTGCCAACTCTGTTAGTGCCAATGTCGGAGGATCATAATTTGGTGGCCAAGAACTTGCAGATTTTGTTCGGGGTTGTCGCTGGCGTAACCTCTGTCGTATTTATCGCCATATTATTAGGTAGGAGGTTTTACATGGGGTTAAGAAGATTTAGACAACATATCTTATGGGAAATAGATCAATTTATATATAATTTTAAAACGTAAAACTATACACGTTAACGTCGATTAATTGTGAGAATTGTGCACCCAGTCAATATACGTAAACTCTCCAAGGGCTTGATCTATCTAGTCTTCGAAAGCCGGGTTAGATGTAGTGTCGATAAAATTTCTAAATCGTCTGTCGTTGTAGCTTTCCGCGAAAAACCTTCTCGACCTCCAAACAAGGGACAACTGATGGAATTGCCCTCTGACTATCGAAACACAATGAGACAGCTTGCTACTAACTCATCCTATTTGCTGTTACTCATCTCCTACGGAATCAACACTGGGACATTTTATGCTGTTTCGACCTTACTTAGTCAAGTGTCTTCTAAGTATTACCCGGTTAGTATTCTGAGGCCAGTAATCAGCTTTGCCCCTTTATGTGAACCAACCTCGATGTTTATAAACAGATTAACCTAACGGAGTCGTTGAACAGTTGGAAAAACAGTTTCTCTTGAAAGGTCTTCATTTCACAACCGTTAAAGTAGCAGGAGATGTGCGTCCCAATATAATTTTTAGATTCCAGTCGTATAATTTTATAAGTAATTACACAGTGTTTTGATATTAGTCAATAAAACCACTTGAATGACTAGAGTTGGCATTTTAAAATAGTGCTATAGAAGTATACAAACGGCATTAAGGCGTGCCGGCTAAATCCATCTATTTAATATATACTCTTTATTGCGGCAATTTGTGTATCTTCTGTTACTTTAATATATGTAAAGTAAGGCTCTCTGATCGCCAAGAAGCTTCTGATCCACTTAATATATACAGAAATATATATAGAATGCTCGGAATAAAGCTGAACATAACTAGTGCCATTAGTTTGTATGTCACATCTAAATGAAGACTGATGGATGCATGTTACAACATAGCATGGGGTCTCACTGAAACGCGCCAAGCGCAGAAAATCAAGCAGTTCCCCCATTTGAGCTCACAATAGGCCAAAAGATGAAAAAAATAAGGGGTCAAAGGAATTAAAAATGCGCAAGTGTAAAAGATCCAAACAAGACGTTTAGCCATTGAGGTTTATTTTTATAAATTGGCAATAGGAACTTTTCTCTCCTAGATAGTCGATAATTTTTGCATTAAAGCTTCCGGTAGTACCAAAAATGGCGTTTACGCTGCTTTAACTAGTCGCTGAGCCCATATATTACGAACATGAGCTTTTTTCTTCGCCATCATTTGTGGTATTCAGTCTTTAAACAAAAAAAGTAGCTTTTTGTTAGTATCGAAGATGCGGATAAACGATAGCCACGACAATCATCGGCCTGCTAAAGTTTATTTCGAGCAACCTGTATATAAGGTCTGAGTGGCTGTCGTAACTTGATGATAACCTTAACGTAGATGTAACGAATAGCGCCGCACATGTACAACATTCACGTATTTTTATCGAAGAACACTTACTTGTTTATTTCCACCACATCAACTGCATTACAAGCACACACCAGATGCTACCCAATGCTATTATGTTTCGCAATCTAACCTTAAAAAAATATTTACAGTTTTACTTCCGGTGCCTCCTCATGCCGCCTGAAGAAATTAATATGCTCTAGACATCCTTTTATTATGTAGCAAGTGGCAATTACTTCACACTCCCGTTGCAATGAGGTCATTACCGTGCCACCGTTGACTGCTTCTTCCTAACCGCTAGTCCGCAATGAACGAGGTGACACTGCCCTTAACTTTCAAACATACGTCTAAATGTTAGGCTGCTGAAGAAATCAAGCCGGTTGTGAATATAACAACATCGATTTTTTTTATGAATCTGTTGCACTGTTTTCTAAGAAAAACATCTTTTGAGACCCTTCTCTATAGAAAATGTTGTAGATCGATTATATTCGGAAATCCAACGTTATGTTTATGATGCGTTTAAAAAGCAAAGCCACTTACATATGTCGATGCTTTGGAAGCTTTTAACCATTACTGAAGAAATTGGCCAAGAAAATCATTTTTACTCAATTTACATTAGTATCCGTGTGGAAGTTTTTATATTTTTCCCAGATTGCAAAAAAATATTATCTCCTGGCCCTCCAAACACATTTTCGCAGACAAGTCAAATCACTCTTTTCATAGTGACTTCTCGTTAAACCATGTCTACACGGAGAAATCACAAAAATCGCTAGAACTGTTTTGCAGATGGTCGCCACATATATATGTACGTATAATATAGGAACTGAATAACTGTGGCCGTTATACTTGCATGTTAGTCATTTGAGTATAAGCATAATTCTTTCAGCGCAGATAGGACTTTTGTAGTTAAGGCCTTTTGTAACTGGCCGCTACAATGGGATATATATATCTTATACTCGCTTGTCACTTACTGTCAATCACTTCTTTGGCATCATGTATCGTTCGAAAAGATTGCCGCCGTATACGCCACGGTACACATGCCTTCTTTTTCGGCGGAACAAGATAGCATCATCAACACTATATCTAGATAGCACACAGACGATCGTCAACAATCCAAGATTGGTTTTTACCTGTTTAGGCATGAACCCTTTTTTCGGTCGGAACGGGGACGCATACTACAGGGACCGTTCTTGGGACTATGGGTCGACCCGTGTAGCGGAGTCTTATTGGGATTGACTTATTGCTATGGGATACCCCATGGCGCAAAGCGCACCCCACAAATTGTTCTTAGTGATGAACACTTAGATGAATACCAAACAGTAGCAAAATTGCCGCCTTCACTGACTCTCTACGCCACATTTAGCAATGCACTGTCACAGCTCATTATTCCGTTTGCACTACTACAAATCCACAAACAATCCACAGTATGGTTTTTTCATTCATAATTTTCAAACACGTATTTTCGTGACATTTGAGTATGAGTATAGAGTAAATCTTCGTTAACTCGGCAGCGTTACCTGCGTGCACGCAATAAAAATTTTTGATTATTTTTTGACTATTTAATGTAAGCCTAATTTTTTTTAGACATGAGCTTTCTACAATAACATTTTCCTGTCGAGCTAAGCCAGTACAAAAAAATAACTAAAATCGAGACATATGGGGGTACTTACATCATAAACAATTTGAATATTTTTAATCCAGTTCTTTCATTGAATTCAAGCGCCCGTTTTCTCAACTATGTTCAAGCCAGCATATATAAATATATATTATAACGTTGGGTATAATTTTGATTTGCACGTGACAGGTATTTGTTATATGCATATTGTGATGGCTGTTGTAAAAGGTACCGTTTTGCCATATGTGGATTTACAGATTCGTATCAGCTTTCCTCTGCTGACTTAAATTTAATTAAAAACGCTTTTATAATATATAGCCCAGTGAGGAACTACCGTTTCACCACTCTCAACAATCTCGTGACTTCTACGCATAATCAAAACAAGACGGTAGTTTTTCGAAACGTATTAACCTGTCACACACAGACATTGTGGTAATTTTTCAAAGTTTTTATTGATATGTTACTGTGTTCAGTCACACATGTTGTGACATGTATACGTGACTGGTATTTATCAATCTACGACAGAAAAACTATGTTTCTTTTTTGGACAACTTGTTTTAGGACGAAGGCTCAAGGATTGGCTTTTTAGGTTTTATGTTAGTCGTCGCTGGTATGCTGGGCTCGGTTGTATGCGGAATTATGTTGGATAAGACGAAAAAATTCAAGGAAATCACATTGATCGTGTACACAATGTCAATGATCTGTATGTTTGCCTATACGTTTGTTCTGCCACTTGGACATGTGTGGCCTTTATTCTACATCGCATTGGCTCTTGGTGAGTGCAAATGAATGTATTGAAATTCTGTTCAATGAAATGACAAAACTTTAGACATTATTTTTTATATGCAGAACCTGTAATGAAGACGTTTTTTACAGCTTTTGCTATGAAAAATAGCCAGATTTGAATAGAGAATCTTCACTTGTTTTGCTGTCACAGGATTCTTTATGACAGGTTATCTTCCACTAGGGTTTGAGTTTGCTTCTGAATTGACATATCCAGAGCACGAGAATACTTCGGCAGGTTTATTGAATGCTGCTGCACAGCTCTTTGGCGTCTTATTCACATCAGCGGCAACTGAGCTCTTAGGACGTTTCGGTGATTGCCCCGCCAACCTTGCGCTTTCTGGAGCAATGGTAATAGGAACCATTATGACAGGTGAGGAGCATCTGAAATTGATCACTTAGAGCTCACATCGAAAGTAACTTCGTTCGACAAACGCAGATGTCGAGCATAAATCTCAAATTTGTCAAATGTTTACTAACAAACACCTATTTTTTTTCCTATCATTCAGCATTTTGTAAATCCGATCTCCGACGGCAACGCGCATTTGCTGGAGAATCCCAAACGTTACCAAGTGTCTCGTTGGCGCGGACGTAGAAGAACTATAACAATTATTATTTAAGGTAATGCAGTTATGAAGAAGTAGAGACACCGACTGCAAATTGTTCATGCAAACAATTAACCATTTATGTGCTAAACCGATACATCGAAGCACAAAGGAACGAGCTTTGTGTCTACTGTCGCACTAGGACGTCATCCAACATATAGACTTAAAGTGTGCCTTAGTGTCTGATGCATAAGAACCCTACAATAGCCTCTAAAATATGCTAAGGCTTTGGGCAGAATCACCATATCGAGTGCCTATCACACATACTGTGCATTTGTTTTAAGTTAAACGATTATTGGCCAAAAACATTTAGTAGAAATCATGTTGAAAAAAATTTCGAGATATTTAATGTGACATAGAAATAAATATGTCTTGTCTGTGAAATTTCTATTTTCACTTGTTTAGCTCATGATTTGTTTGTTAGTTCCTCTGCCGCTAGATTCGATTGTGGATGAGTGGAGCAGATATCAAAAGAAAACTTTCAAATACAATGGAGGAAGATTTCTTCTTGCTGAATTACTTACTGTTTGTTGTTAGTTTACTTGTGAGCACTAAAGCATACGCATATAACCATCTGTATATGCACATCGGCGTCTGTGTGTACATTTTGTTCCCGACATGTTTATATATTTCGAGTGAAGAAATTACGGCGTTTACGAGAAGATTACTTTAGGAATTTCATGAGCGTTTTATTAGGGCATACTCAAAATTGTGGAGTTCAAACACAATATAATGTCAATTCTAGTAACGGCAGAAGGCGAAACTGGGATCCCAATACGTACGTTGCAAAAGCATAGCGTTACCCTACTGAGTTACAATCCAAGCCGTTTGGAAAATTTTATCGGTAATAAAAATTAACTTTTTTTTTTAGAAACATAACGATAATTAGTGCTTGCAGTATTAAAACTGTATCACGATTGTGTATTTGGACTATTAGCTTATTTATTGTTTTAGAAGAAGAAATTGTGACGCCCACTCGATGCGACTGGACTAGCATATAGCGCTTTCTTTCGATCAAAGCTCATCGCTTTAATAAAGTTTAATAACCATGGTTAGTGCCCCCAGTTGGTTTACGGCCGCAGTCCTTGACCCCTTATGCGTAACTGATGTTGTTTTGTTTCGTGTTTGTTCTCAACGTACCGGCTGCGTCATCGTTCTCGCTCAATATCTGTTATATGACAGTGAGCTACTAACGTTTTATTAAATATTCAATTGGTCATTTTGTACACGACATTCTCCCAGAATATGGCAAGGGCAGCGTAATTTCGCATACTATCTAAATCAATGGTGCCATTTTAAGCCACAGTACATATTGTGATACAGAAGAACACGACAAGTTTTCGTTTTTTGAAATTCTTTTTTGTTTGACTTGTGTTTTTTTTTTGTTTTTGCTACACTTAAGCTACAAACACCCGTTCACTAGTTCGGAGCTAATTAGAGAATCGAATGTTCTGGGCAGTTTCAAACTATGCCCCATTGGCCAACATAACTGAACAAACGAGTTTTAGAGCTATCTGCTATTATAAGCTGTCGTCAAACGATAATGAGTCCAGATGCAAAGAAACGCTCAGTGGTGCGGATTTTAATTCTCGGAGCCAACGGCGCTCTACAGAAGATTGTGAAAACCGCAGTTATTATGATAGTCTACTTTCTGGGCTTTAGTTCCGCCTTTTCTATTGCCCAAAAGCATGGTCTCCATCTGCGAACCAACTCAAATAACGCGGATGTAAGCTCATTTTACTTTTGTAATTCTCTATAGTATTTGTATGTCTAAATTTAAATGATATTATTGAGCAAAAATGCTCTTTCGATTTCTCATTGAATAGTCGAAACGATTGCGAGGCAACGTTTTGTCAACTCAAATATCGTGACAGAGCATCTTTACGAATATTTAGGACTCGAATTCTAAACAAATCGTTAGAAAGTTACGTGAGAAACTAAAGTTCGATTTGAAGTTACAACAAACGTGTGACTCTTCGGACATTCCTAAATTTCGTTTGTTTTTTTTTTATGAAACCTTGTTGCTGCGGACGTTAAGTAGTATTTTCAGCTGGAACTCTGTGTATGGTGTATATTAGCGAACGGTTCTCATACTCTCTAGGATAAAAAAAACAGTAGTTAAAAATATAGAGTTTTAGTCATTCACTAATTGCTCTAAGAGCGAAAGTCTTTGCAAGATGTACAAGCTCGCAAAGGATGTGGTAATACGAATATCTTTCGAGAAAAAAGGCACTAAGTCTGAACTTACTTATTCTCGGCGGGTTTTCTTAACAATCACAGCTCGTTGTTTATTGCTTTGATCGAAAACGAGTGGTTACGTGGCAACAAAATTCCCATGATCTGTCTGTCTGTAATGATCAGCAATTCAATTCGACGTTCAAAAGAATTAGGTACCGAATCGGGCATTGAATAAGGGACGACCCGGTGATTTGAAAGCACCGAATAAACTCACCTGTCGTATGAATATCAATAGACAATTGATAACTACAAGTTAAAGTTAATGTAGCATTCAGGAATCATTAAGGATTAGATGTTTACTTGATTGTTTTTGTAGAAGGATTATTTGCGTTGTCTGCTGTGTGTAGGTCACTATTTCTCTATCTTGGTAGGTATGTGGCATAGAAGGCCGTGGCAACACCTGCGATCCTCGATTTTGAAAATTTAAGTATAGATTACAAATTGCCATTGTTTTCAAGCATCTCGTAATAGGCAGTTGTGGTACTGCTAGCTAATGGTATTCACTGTCTGCTTAATGATACATATTTCACATAACGTAAAATATGCAAGCCTATCCGACGCAGAGAAATGAGGTTAACGTTTTTAAGGATAGGCTTCACGGATTTGCTGTTCGAGCAAGCGCTGTTGCTTTCTTTGATAACAACTATATGTGTAACGCGGGTGTTACATAATGACACTTTATTTTTCAATATTTGCATTCTGTTTTAACTTACTGCTTCTAAGACAAGATTCGTTATTGCGTCTCGTGATCGTGAGACACTCTGATATTTATGGCGTCAATTGAGGTAAACATAAACCACTGATCTTGAGTGATTTTCTACGAGTACACAGATGAAAAAATTATAACCTGACAGTTGACTAATCCTCAACACACATTATGAAATAACAGACATCCTCGCCATAGTCGTTCTGTTGCTAGCTTCATGTAGTTATACAGGTCTCGTTCAGGCTGTGTTGATAAATATATTCAGTAAGCTCTGCCGCCCTCATTCAAGGCCTTCGAAGAGAAGGGTCATCGTTGGGAAACCGGTTTTCTATATAGGTTATCACACGGATAATCGCTGAAGTCTAAGTGATATCAAGTAGCATTTAAAAGCCATCTCTATCATTTTTTATTTGTCATTGGTAGATCTGGCGTCTTTTTTAAACGCAAACAACGTTTGTATCTGATATTCACCAAGAAGTTTGATCAGTCAATGTATCAGCTTTGCAGGATTGCTCCACTCTCGTTATTTGAGCAATTTTATGTTCTACGTAAGCGACCGGCCCCAGGGCTAGTAATCTGCGTGTATGATCCAACTGGCTAAGAGCAACCTATGCATCAACGAAAGCAAATCCGTGTACTGTTTTGTGTCTGTTAGAAGAAGAGAATGGAGAAGGTGCAATGAAAGTACAGACTAAGAACTAGTTACAAGCGGAATAAACTTGATCTTAGTATATTTTTTAGACGCTTACGTCAAGCGATGGCAAGTTATTAGCTACTTCACACTGTTGTTATTTTTATAACAGTGTATGCAAGGCATATATATATTTAAAGGGAATCTGTACCATACTGACTGATTTTATCGACCTTAGGCCTTCAGCATTTCTTTTCCGTTATATCTATGTCTGTTCAGTTCAGTAGCACTATGTGCGTCTGTGTCTATGGGACGGACTGCTCCAGCAGTTTCCTGGGGTAATTACAACCGCTGCAACAAATCTGCATCTGCTCCTGAGAGATTTAGTCGTTCGATTCCTCCTGACGTGCTACTCGAACCATACCCCAACTGCCTTCCCTATGCTGTAACGGCAGCCGTTATGGCTAGAATATCTTCGACTGCATTTACGATATCTTTCTCATTCACTCTGTCCCGCTGCCACTCACCGTCGCATCGGGGCTCCGGACCGCAATTCGATTCCCTTGCCCTTTGCGGCTCGCGGATCCCTTGTAGCCCAGCAGCGCTGATTGCAGCCCGAAGGCAATGTGCTTCGCCCTGGCAATCAGTACCTATCTAGCTCCGACCAACACTTCAGATGCTATTGAACGACGAGCCGAAGGGTGTTCGCATCTCCGTGCCTTTTGTCGCCATTTTGTTGCTCAGTATTTTGTCTATGTAACGTTGTCAGCTAGCTAGCCAGCCATCGGTCAATTGTTTATTGTGCTGTTCGTACACGATTTGTCAAGTGATAACCGCTGCCTTTAATCAGCCAGCCATGTTAGTTGGGTTTTGAGTGGCAAAAAAGCGCGTATTGTTTGTGTCGAAATAAAAAGAGGGCTATCTTTGGCGAAGTTAAGTATTGCGCTATGTTAATCCTTGTGACAGCTAAACACTGAACTGTCGATATTAGTGTCGTATGTTATCTCGGTCCTTTTCGTGAGTACCTCATTGAAACTCTGACCATCCAAGAACAGTTTGGAAAACTGAACTTAGACAACAATAATGAGCCCTTAGTAGAAGTGTTATAGATGACGTCCTACCGTAAATAGCGCGTTAAGAAGGCATGTAAGGCAGGATATATACGGATATTTTTCATCTATTATGAATGATGTGGAGATGTTTCAGTGTTGCCCTACGCAGAGCAACAGTAACGTTCCATTCGAAGTGTGCCAAAGAGATGGTTTCTTGCTAATTACTCCACACATGTATCATCAGTACCAACTGTAATTATGAAGGTGAGTAAAAAGCATTTTGAGAGAATCTATGTTGACAGAATTGAAAGCTATTTTGGTGCTCGATCATTTAGCTATCAGCATCGAAACACGCACGGGCGAATTAGCTAAGAGACGCCATGGATTGTCCTGAACTGTTTACAATTGGAAGGTCGACTAAGGTGCTCCACGTATAAGTACATACTGAATAGTGCACATAATGACAACGTATTGAAAAATCATACTGCTTAATACGAAGCTAATCTAGTATATACAGGCCGATGACACGACGTGACTGGCTGTTGGTGTTCGCGACGCTGTGAATACCACCATTGCGTCATCTATGTTGAAAGACGTCTTGCAGGAAGGAGATAGCAACCAGGGTATTTGTTTCATTGTGCGGCTTCGATAGATACCAAAAAACAACACGCACCAAGCAGCCGCTGGAAGTAAAAAGCCGCCTGAATAATTTATTTTTTTTATTTCATAGAGTAAACAAAACGTGTCAGCATAATGGTGTGGATTGGTATGCCTTGGATTCGAATCGGGCAATTGTTATTTTGACTATTTTTTTTTGGTCATGAATAGTAGTAGTCCACTACGCAATACACTGCCAGATTTAGCCCTTTTGAAATGTAATAATGTTGTTGGCTTTGCTTCATACGATTTTCTTACTATTTTGAATGGCGGCTTGCTTGAAAACGGTTCTGCGAAACTGAATGCCGGGGACAGGGAATCCTTCTTGGAATATTGAAATCAGTTAGAGCTAACCAATCCTCCCTAGTTGCCTAAGACTTGCCGAAACGTACGTTACTGAGTGTATCTGAGATTACTGCTTCTCTCTAAGAAGATATGTGCCCAATTGGATCAGACTTAGCAACTAGCAAGCAAAGTCGATTGCTTATAAACATGTACTAGAAAGTTCATTCCTATTGAGCGCTTCTTCATTGATTACTCAGTGTGGTGGACTATTACCTTTATCGTCTAAATATAGCAAATGCCCCAGCTAGAAAATAGCCTTTCTTCGATCGTCACCTCAGCGAACGTAATTTGGCGAAACAGTTACAGAGACTCGTTTTGTTCGGTGGATTAAGCATCAGAGATC